CGCGCGCCTGCAGGGCGGACCTGGACGAGCGCGAGTCGTACTGCGAGAGCGAATTCGGTGAGCCGGTCCCTGGCCGAGGCGAGCCTTTCCGAGCCCAGAGAAACCCACCCGCACGTTCTAGAGGCCCCGCCCGGCCCTTTGGGCTATTTCGTGATTTGTTAAAGTCGCGCGGGGCAATGAGAGGAAGTCGCTGTAATGCTTTTCTCCAAACTCTGTTTTGAAAGCAGCCGTGAACGGAATCGTGCACGATGTGGACGTACTCGGCACGGGGATCCGGCTGGTGACTCTGCTGGTGGACCAGGACGGGCTGTACAAGATGAACCGCCTGTACATCACTCCGGACGGGTTTTTCTTCAGGGTCCACGTATTAGCCCTAGATTCCTCCAGTTGCAATAAGCCATGTCCAGAATTTAAACCTGGTATTGAAACTGACCTAAATGACCGCTTCATAGACGTACTCTATTCTGCCATTGGTACCTTCTTTTGGGGATACTGTAACTAATAGAATTTGGATGACAGGTTATATTTTCGACCTCTTGTGATTTAAGACCCCCATGCCCCGCAAAAGGATTAAATTCAAGTAGGGATTGGCACGAAGCAAGCCCTTAAATACATCAACAAGTGGAGTGAATAACATTGTTCCCAGAAGGGATAAGACAGAACTGCTTCTTTTGGCCCCATGCATTGGGATTAGGACCTCTGTTCTGTAATGTCCGATGTTTACAGGTTACCTGGCTATTTCCTAAAGGTCACTAGACTGTCCCCACGTGTGGCCGGTAGGTTACATGATTTCAACGTGTACAGCAAGATAATAAAATTCAAACTCAGGCATTTCTTGTCTTTCTATGGCACCTAAAGCCACCATTAACTGATGTTCTGGTTGTTTTGTTCAGGCAGCAGGTATATTGTGATGGGCCACATCTACCACAAGAGACGGCAGCTCCCTACAGCTCTGCTCCAGGTTCTCAGAGGGCGGCTGCGGCCAGGAGATGGACTGCTCCGGAGCAGCAGCAGCTATGTGAAAAGGTTTAACCGGAAAAGGGATCGGCAAGTTCAAAGTGCAGTTCACACCCAGTGCATTTGAAACCACCCATCCCGGCATTGATGGAGGGCAATGGAGACTTGAAAAAGACATCAAAGGTCTATCTTTATGAAATGGGGCCTTTCTTTACAATTTGGGCCTACGGCTACTTTATGAACTATTTGTACAGTTCCAGCTCTAATCTTCACATTGTCACTTTGTTATTTACAAAATGCCTCTTATGGGATACTCGGGAGCTCAAGGGCAGTTATTCAAATGTAGTCCCAGACAGTGACTCACCTAGCTCAGATACCTGACCTGTCCAGTTAACAGATCACTGCTTCATGTTAGGTTTTTAAATTATTTTAATTTAATACATTCTTCAGTAGAAATAGTTCACAAAAAAACATTTCTTAAATTTAAATATACACTTTCAATAGTTTATATCATGTATCAAACCAAATTTTATACTCAAATCATCACATTTATAACTGTACATAACAGTAAGCACACGAGTCAAAAGACATTTATGTATGAAATGTCATTTAGATCAAACACTAGGTCAGCGCTCAGGACAAATATTAAAATTTTACATATGCAGAGTACTAAAGGGCTTAATTCAAGCAAAATAGTATTCAAAGCAAGTGTTCCTGATGTACCAAAATGTAAGATATAGTATATTTTCATGCCTCCCTGTTCCCAATAACTTATGTTGTGTGCCAAACTGGCAGCTATTCCACTGCTAAATGTATTCTGGATGTATCTGATGTCATTTTTCTATTAAGACCAAGTATCATGTTTGTGTTTGTAAAGCAGTAAATCTTGCCTTGAAATCAGATCTTGGATGCACCTGGGTTTTTTAGCCTGCATAAGCCAAAAGGTTTGAGAAAAAGATTTGTTTCAAACTTGGTCCCCAAACCCTGAAACCAATTTTCATCAATGACAGCTCACAAGCAAGTGAATTTTAAACATTTTCTGGACGGTTTGAAAAAGGCTGTTTAATAATGATATTTATATTTGAGTCCAATAGCAATTTCTTTCAGAGGATTGAGCTGTCCTTCAGTTAACTTGAAGCATTGTGAACACAGACAACAATATGCATGAAGTTTCCTGCCAAAAGAGAGAACTGCACTGCAGAGAAAGGCAGACTGTTTGGTCTCAAGGTGACTTGCTCAGGGAGCTCACAATGTTAATGGCCCGAGAAGCACTATATATCTGAAGGATGTCCAAGATGGGGCACTGGAGAATTGACAAGGAAGCAAGTAGCAATCACATAAAACGAAATATCTCATACTTCTGCCTCAAACATGGCCTTAGAGGTGAAAATAGAGGTTCTGATATTACTGAGGGACTTTTAGATAATTTCTCCAAAATGAGTCTTGCCCAAATGTATTAAAAAATTTACCAGAATTTCTTGGGAACAGCTTCCTTATTACATAACTATTGGCATTAGAGTAAACAGCTAACGAATTAAGTTTTAAGATAAAATTCACTCAGTCATAAAATACTGTCAGTCAAGTCAAATTTTCAATTGTCAGAAGACTAAGCGGTGATTTAAGGAACATGATAGGAAGATTCCAATATAGCCAGATAGATAAACTATTAGTTATCTAATAGTGAGGCACTTCTAAATACTTAGAATAATATACCAAATGGTCAGACTTAAGACAAAACTTATAAGTGGTCCTAGTTTAAGAGAAAAAAAAGCCTAGTATGGCGGCTCACCCTGTAATCCCAGCTGCTCATGAGGCTGAGGTGGAAGGATCACAAATTGGAGGCCTGTCTAAGCAACTTAGACCCTGTCTCAAAACCAAACCAAACACAATAGTAAATAAAAGAGATAAAAATCACTTTTACATAAACCTTAGTTAGGTTTTGACTTAGCTTGATTTGATAACACTATTTATGAAATATTTTGGAAATATAAAAAAAAATGCAAGAGCCCTGATATTTGTGACATTTGGAGGTCACACAGCTAATAATGTACATCACAGAAAAACATGCAGGCCAGATTTTGAGACTGCCTGGATAAAAACTAAGGCCATCATTCATGGAGTAGCGAGGCACAGCTGAGGTAGAATGGCAGTGGGCTGGGGACATGAAGAGGAGACAGTGGAGAACAGACTGGGAATTCCAGGTTGGGCAAAATAAAAAGTAGAATCTCTTTTTCAATATTCAGTCAGGACTTGAATACAATCTTTTAATTTGATGGAAAATTTTAATGAATTCATTGTAGTTTCTAATCCTCTTATCCCATTGATAGATTTTTCTTAGAACATGGCTTTGTGCTCCAAAGACTGAAGAGCCCTTTGTGCCTATGTGCACACATAATAGTCCCTCATCAATAAAATACTCAGTTGCCTTCAAGAGTAATTCAATGGTGACCCTCCTCCAAATTAAACTGTTACTTTAGAATTCAAGGGGGAAAAAAGTACTTGTTTTTTCTTTTAGTAGGGAAAGATCTACAAGACATGAATTTTTTTCTTTTTGGGGTACTAGTTTTTAAAAACTGTCCTTTGAAGGTATTATTTGGCACTGTTCATCTTAAACTTTTGATTTTTTAGTTGTAATTGGACACAATATTTTTTTTTTTAGTTGTTGATGAACGTTCATTTTATTTATTTTGTATGTGGTGCCGAGAATCGAACCCAGTGCCTCATGCATTTGCTCTACTACTGAGCCACAACCCCAGCCCCACAATATTTTATTTTTATGTGGTGCTAAGGATAGAACCCTGGGCCTCACATGTGCTAGGCAAGTGCTCTACTGCTGAGTCACAATCCCTGTCCCTCATCTTAAACTTTTTTTTTTCCAGGTTTACCAAGGACACATATATGCAAACATTTAAAAACTGATGTGCCACCTACAGTGCAAAACCTCGATTTCAAAACATATTTGAGCATACAAGAAGTATGTTAGATAAAGCAGGCCTTTATCATTTGAAAAATATGGCATATTTCTTTAGTAGAATTTGGTCCAAACTGGATCAAGTGGTGTGATCTTCTGAGAAATGTCTTTTTCGTATATTATTCTAAGTATTTAGAAGTGCCTCACTCTATTTCAAATTATTAAAAATACTTCAGCTGGCCTTTCCCCCCTAAATACTCAGAATTCATTACTTTGCCCATGATGTATGATGTATTACCATTCATCATACATTTAAGGACTAGAGATCTGAGACTTCTGGGGAATAGCTTTGAGCAGAGAAGAGTGACTTGTAACAACAGGTAGCTCTGTCAAACTCCATCGTGTGTAGACATTTTAAAAGATCACTGAGTTGGCTTCAATTTTTTTTTCTTGTGGGGGGGCAGTACGGGGAATTAAACCCAGGAGTGCTCTACCACTGAGCTATACCCACAGCCCTTTTTATTTTGAGATAGGGTCTTGCTGAGTTGCTGAGGCTGCCCTTGATCTTGTGATCTTCCTGCCTTGGTCTCCCAAGTCTCTGGGATCACAGGGGTGTGCCAATGCACCTGGCATCAATGCACTTGGCTCTTTAATATGGGAAACACAACAAAGAAGCCAGGATTTGGCCTGCCAGGAATGAACAGGAATTGGGAAAGAACTTTTATTTGCAGATTCTAGGAAGGTAGGTTACAAATAACGGCATGTCTCAGGGTCTCTAAATAACACTCCAGGCCACTTGAAATACAAAAAAACTGCTCTACTTTAGAAAGTAGCTCCAAAAGTTCACAGTTTTTTTAAACCTACTGTAGGACATTATATACAAATCCCACATAATTTGGATAGGAAAAAAAAGCATTATCAATATTATGAAAATACATTTTGTGAAATGGTTTCCAGGACTGTAAACTTGGCAGATAGAGCATAACATTGAAAATACTTTTAGCCAAAGAAATCTGTTGATGCAAATTAAGTATATTTACAGGCCTAAAGACTGGGATAGAAACATCCTAACAGTATCACAAATATGCATTATACTACTTTGATTACTGAAAGCAAAATAGTTTAATATTTTATTGAGTAGTAGAAGCTTGTCAAAGAATACTCATAGAAAAGCAGCTTTTGAAATAAGAATGTATGTTTTTCAAAAATTACTTTGGAAAGACTAAAGCTCTATAGTTGGTAAAACTATAAAATGTCTTCATGTATTTATATGGTGATAGAAATTGCAAAAGGCTTTATATCATTATACACATATGAAATTAACATCTTCCTGGTCTCAGGATTTTCATAAAATTTACCTTTTTTTGTACAATATGGCAATGCCAACAGCTTTAGAAAATATCTCAACCAACCAATCAACCAACCAACCAACCACTGTTTCATTAGAAACTGCACCAAATCCAATGTCAAAAACATTACTTTATTTTTCTAGGATGAAATGTCCTATTCCGTACAAAAAGAATTGCTGTTTAGAATTTGCCACAATTTGTTAAAAACATAGCAATCTATTGCCTACAGGTAGGAAAGTTCTTGCCGTAACAAGTTTTAAATGATTAAGCTCATATATATTTATATATATATGTATATGAATAAATATTACAGAAATACTGTGACATGATGAGATGCAGAATAACTTTATAGTTCATTAAAATGTAGAATTCTTGCATCAGCACAGTGCATACATATGTAACATTTTTTAAAAACTAAAAGGACAAAATAACTTGTATTTAATTACTTCCATCTTAATATTTTAAGCAGAAACTTTTGTTTTCATGTTTCCATATTGAGCAGTTAGTCTCTTTAGTTTGTAAGGATAGGTTTAAGTGATGTCTTTATGCACAAAAAGGAATGGGCTTCATCAGACAAAATTAACCCAGAACAACCTGTCCACCTGAGCCTGTAATAAGAAAGAACTGGGAACTCTATAGCAATGTCTTTCTTTTAAGAAATTGGTCTGGGAAAGATTTTGCATAGCAGGGCAACATTAAACAGAAGGAAACTTTTAACTAACAATAACTAGGTAAGTTCCAGAACTTGGTAGGACAAAGCTAATATGAATTAGTGCAAAATTAGAAAAATTTTGCAAAGCTGCATAACCCAACTCTGGCATACATTAGAGAAGCCATTGTTACAATGCAGTAATATCATGTGTAAGGTTAGAACACTGAAAGGAACAACATGCAAAATACACCTAAATTCCAGGGTTCCATCTTCTCCCTACTCCTCACGCTTCTTTTCCTTACAAGGAACAAACAAACTCAACCAACAAACAAAAAATACAGAGGATGGGGTCATCTAAAAATGCCCTTCATACAATATAAGTAGCTATGTGTAAAGGGTCATTTGCCTGGAATCATACCAAGTACAGAGGAAAGGCAACGTGTATTGTGTCATATCACCCTTATCATTGGTGCAATACAACAGGATTAGCACCCTGGAGATTTTCTGACAGGGCGACAACAAACTGGGAATTATAAAACAAAGGGCCACTGCTGTCCTAGAGAAACCCATCTGATTAGAGCCTTCTGTCTTTCTCAACTGGCAGCCCCCCCCACTTCCCACAGAGACTTACAGATAATCATTGCGCACATTCAAAGACACCTTCGTCTGTGGGAGAAAAATTATCTCCATTTATTTTGTTTCATATACATCCATAGTTGAATTTTAATACAAAAAGAAAAAATTAGAATCTGACAAATGTTTACAAACAAGATACCTTCAAATAGATTTTGCTCATTTTAGCCTGGTGCAGAGTAAATGACAAACTGTACTGGTATATCAAGGCAACAGAGTCTGTAGTCCAGGACCACTCAGTCCAACCTTTCTGCAAGCTTAATTTTTGTCTACCATGAATAATAAACTCATTGTTGATTCCCAGTTGTGTGTGTGTGCACATGTGTACATAGCAGCTCCTTTCATAGAAAGAAAAGA